CTTCTTGTTCTCCAGCACATACCTCCTACCCGATCCTGAGAAATTTTCTTTCCAATATTTCTGCTTCCCTTTAGCAGCTGCATCAGAGACAAACTCTTTCACCCACTCAATCATTTCTGAGCCTTCCACAAGGATCGTGGCTCTCTTCTGTTCTCTTACTTTCAAACCCATTCTTCCTTTGATCCGTATCTCTTCAAAGAGAAACTCTTTGGCCTCTATCCTCAAAGCTGACCTCCATCTTACTTTCTCCACGAAACCTCCCTCAACTTTCTCCACGAAGCCTCCCATGGAAAGAAGTCAAAAGTGTTCTGTTGCACTAATGTTGATACATCTGTGCAATACTGTTGGAAGCTTAATTATCACAGTATAGCACCAATGGCTTCCCATAAGCCATCCCCAGCTCTCCAAATAAAGAATCAACCCACAAAACCTCAGACACACCATATGCCATCCTTGATTATGCTTTTGCACTAGAGCTAACTAAAACAAACTGCTTTTTACTCTTCTAATAAACCGAGTTACCACCTACTAAAGTGRAATAGCTTAAAGTAGAAGGCCGATCATAAATGGAACTAGCCCAATCTACACCTATAAAATATTCTATTTTCATATGACCATGATTGGCAATATAATATACCTTTTCCGATATGTTTCTTCAGGTAGGCCAAAATCCTTTCTAATAGCACCTTGATGAATACTACTTGGTACATGTATTGACTGACTATGTTAACCACAAGTCATGCACAAACACAAGAATCTATTAACCAATCTCTGATACACCCCTCTATCCTTCATAGGCTTTCCATCTGTGGCACTCAACTTGTGGTTCTAATCAATCAATATGTCCTACCAGTTTAACTTCCATTTTCTATGTCTAAATCAAGTACATATTTTCTCTATGATATAAAAATGCCATGTTTAGACCTAGTAACTTCAATGTGCCTATGAAGAACCAAATTATCTTATCAAAAAAATAAAATTTTATGAAAGTCCTTTATTTCGAGTTCCTTGATTAAAACCAATTAAGTCAAACATAATACCCAAATCTCTTTTGCTGATTTCATCCACAAATAGTTTCTGCTAATATGAGGAAGCATGGAACTACATAACCAGGTCATGACCATGTAGTTCTCCTAAACTCAGCCAACATGTGTGGGATTTATAGGATCTGACTCATTCACTATGCTAGTTAGATAACCAAGTTTACCTCTTCCACCAATGGGCATCTGTAAAGACTACACTCACTCCAAGTATTTTGTATCATTGAGTTTCACAATGGTTATCTATAATATTGGGATTCTCTCCAACACTACTTGAAACCATAGTTGTCAGGGCACCACCTAGGTGACTAGGCACCCTTGGTTGGACACTTCATCTAAACACCTTGACTTGTAGCAATAAGGCACCCACCTAGACAACAGAAATGAATATCATTCATAGTGCTAAATCTTACTAATATGTATGTGTTAATACATTCTATTATATATATATATAAAGTGCAGCCCTGTGCATGAGGAGGTGTGCACCTAGATAGATAGATAGATAGATAGATATAGATATTATTTACACTTTGTTTGAAGTTTGACTATTGAAATTTAAAAGATCAAAGGTTTATCAGAAGAGGTAAGGAAATAAAGAATAGCAAAAAGGTTGCTTATTTTTTGTTTTTTCTCTATTCTCTCTACCCTTGTTCCTTTTCTTTTTTACCTTCTATCTTAAAATTTTCTTATATATAAAATCATAGCCTTCTTTAGTTGCTATATGATATGAAATTGCTCTATTAACACATATTATATTGGTATCTTTTGAAAATATTGAATGTAGTATATGTAAAATGGCTTTCAAAATAAAGAAACTAACATATTTAAGACTTTTTATCTTTCAGATATGATGTTTTGAGAGGTAATTTAATGTTCTTAATAAACAGAATCGCTATTCTTTATGCTGAATGGTATATATAAAACTAAGGAACTAGCCAAGTGTTAGTTTTTTTTTATTTTATAAATTCTTAATGCCTGAAGGACTAGGCACCCCAGATGCCTTGACAATCATGCTTGTAGCCATCCCTCACTTAATGCCTACTTTAAAATCATTTCCAATAGGATCCATAACAAACAAAAAGCATAAAGCCTTCAAAATCATAACAAAAAAAACAAAAAAAAAAGATAGGAAATCAAATTATAAGTTCAATCTGGACTGCACCCTAGGAGAGAAACCTCTACTAGTAGAAACAAGATTACCTATGCACTCTCTCCAGGGGCCCCAAAAATCAACAAAGTCAAAACCACCCACTATATATATATACTTGCAAAGTAATTCCAAATATACCTAATAGCCATTTCAATCAAGACTAACAAGTCTCCAAAAAAATCCCTCACTTTTGGGAAGAAAAGTCCAAGACTACTCCTTGGGCAGCAATCAGTCTTCTATTTATTCTCCAAAAATCATCTAAAACTAAGCAACTTACAACAAATCAACCAGCACCTTCACTTTTCCATGCAGTTCACTAATCTAAAGCTGCATGAGCTTCATCAGATAAGAAGAGAAATTGAGAGAATAAGAGAAGAGAAATCAATTATGAGAAAAACCATAAAGTAAGAGGTGTATGGCTTCTCGCAACAAAAGTAACTATTATAAATACACAAGTAGATGTTTGCCATTTCACATTAATCATTTATTCACAATGGGAAATTTTTGCAAGAATATCTTCCTTTTTTTCACTTGATATCTAACAGTTGCATATTTAAATTGACAATTCTAGACTAGAAGGTTGTGGGGATTGACCACCTCCATATTTAATTTCCTTTAAGTTGAAGAAAGGAAAAGGAGATAAGAATGTTAACAAAGCTTACGTTAATGATTTTCCATGGAAGACAATTGGAGGGGCTATTGCAGCAAATATACAAAAACCAATATGGAGCTGCACCATGCCCACAACATAAGCATAAAAAACTTGTTAGAAAGGAAATGATTAATTGGATGTATTATGTATATATAAACATGTAGAAGAGAAGTATTAAGTTAGTTGTTGAACATGTAAAACTCACCAAATAGAATAGGAAAAACCAACTAAACTTCAGGGCGCTATCTGTCCTGTAAATCAGAAACAAATAGCGATCATGAACAACTTAGATTCATTCCAGCCATATCATACCGCAGAAAATGTCAATATGTCATACAGATGAGTCTCCCATTTCTCCGTACATATAGAATATTCTTTGTATTAATTACTAGAAGTTAAAACCAACCCTATGACATTATATGATTTCTCATCCATTCTGTATTATCATATGAAAGAACTGGCCCCACAAGATTCTCATCATCTTCTGAAACTAGAAGGTTCTGACTTCTGACAATTTGGGATCAACCAACCAGAGAAGTTCTAACTTACTGATAATCTATGATACCCAGATACCTTACAAGGGTGCTGTATCATATCGGATACTTGAATTTTTAGTGCAAATTCCATATCCAATACTGTATCCAGCCATCTCCTTGCTGTATATGGGTAAATCAAAATAGCTTATAAGGAACTCCTAAAAATAAAATGTACTGGACCTATGGGTTATCAAGAAGTGACGGTTTACAGTTTACTAGCTCTGTAGATGTATATAACATCAACTGGCATTGATAAGAAAAGGATCCAGAAAATATGGGTGTGATTAATTGGAAAATTACCTCATTGCACGATATAGAGGCCTGTACCACAGGACATATGAAAGAGGACATCCAAGCAGAGCATAGATTGTTGCAAGGAAAAAGATTTTGACACCTGCAGATTGCAAACCCTAATCTCAGAAACTTCAAATTGAACAGAGTTTAACAAATAGTTCTATCTGAAATGTAATAAGTGCAAGTTGTCAAGTACAAGAACTTACCTCCGCCTTTAATCCAACAGACAACAATTGCAAGAACATTGAATACAAGACAAAGAACTATACCTGCAACAAAACCATTAGCAATTACTTCTCCCAAAAAATGGAAGAAATATTACAGAGGCTGAAAATGAGCCCGAGATATTTGATCTCCTTTGCCTAAAAAACTCAGATGAATGATGCATCACTTGTCAACATGAAACAAAATTAAAAAAAAAAAAAACAGATAGCATGTTACAGCATGCAGTTATTTTGTCCTATGGTGTTATCCATTGGGCGTATTGTATCGTTCTGACAGGTCACTGAAACACCTATCTTAAGGCTTTTTGAAAAAAAAAATGGTGTTCATTTAATGTTAAATAACAATATTATAAGCCCCTATAAAATATGAAGCTAAAAGATTTAAAAAAAAAATAACTCGCCTGATACACATGTTCATGCGTATCGGGTGTATTGATACTTTGAACCTTGCCTATCAGTTAGGTTTTGAAGTCTTCAAAGGGTTCAAGAAAGCAGACACCAACATGTGTGTCAACTAATTCCTAACAAATAAGAAAACAATAAAAAGAAACTGGTACAAAAACCCACAAAATTATTAATTTAGTTTATAATGTCTATTTTATTATTATGATCTCAAAAATAGAATACCAAAAATAGTTTATAGCACCATGTACAAATAGCTAAGTGCTTAAGCAAGGCAACCCTCCATGAGCGCCTTGTCAATGCTTCACAGCTACGGCTTTATATTCCAGTTCATTGGGTTGGAGAAAAAGGAGGTCTAACTTGGCTGAAGGAAAACTAAAATGGCTACTTAAAGCAAAAATTACAACACGCCTTGTCAATGCTTCACAGCTATGGCTTTATATTCCAGTTCATTGGGTTGGAGAAAAAGGGCTCTAACTTGGCTGAAGGAAAACTAAAGTGGCTACTTAAAGCAAAAATTACAACCTCTAGTGCCAGTAGGAACCAAGGTATGGAACAAGTAGGCATTGCAAGTCTCCAAGAACAAAACTCACCCAAAAATAATCAGGGTCCTTTGATAAGTGTAGAGGGTGATGGGTGAATACTTCAAACCAAAGGTTTCCAGAAATAAAGATAACTTCCTCAACAATGAGAAGATGGAACAAATTTAAATTACATACCTAACCAACTTGCAAAAGCCAGATACTGCAATCTTTGAGCATGAATTGGTATTTCATTTGCTATGTCATGATGAATAATAGGAAAGAACGGGGGCCAGTTTCTATCATCTGTAGGAACGCCAGCTGTGTTGATAAAACCAAAAGGCATGCATTAACTACTAACAGCAATATCAAGCAAGTACGTGTGTATAACAGCATCTTAGGGTGTAACTTGAAATCCTACCTCTGGCAACAGCATCTTCTCTCCGTTTTATGTCCTAATATAGACAAGTAAGATTGTTAAGAGAACCAGAATAAAAATTGAAAAAAAATATATCCTAAAGAAAGCATATTTTGAGTGATTTCTATTAAAAGAACTGTATAGTTGCAAACAATCATTTAAAAGATTAGCTTGCCAAGGATAACCTGTTCCCTCCTTTTCAAATCTGCTTCCCAGGCTGCAATCTCTTTCTGTCTTTTCTTGATATCCTGTTAATATCAAACTACCTTCTTGTAAACAACTTAGCTCTCCCAGGAGTAACTTGAAGATATAATTAACTAATTATCTACAGTTGATGTTCTTACATTTGTTGTATCTAGTGGTATGTCCACTGTTGCATCATGTTTGTGGCCAAAACCCAAGGATTCAGGTATCAGTGAAGTAAGGCGTGACTTTGAAGCAGGTGCAGCACCTTTCTGTAAGGGATCATAAAGTGGCATCAAGAAGAGCAATAAAAATCAATAGATAATACAGAAGCCCATTATCCATGAGGCACAATTGAAACATGTAAGAGTATAAAATGGACTGAGAAGCAATGCAATAGATTGGTTTACCAGCTCGAAAGCCAAGATAGAAATTTCGGATGCCACACCATGGTGCATTGCATGCTTGCAACACCAACTGATAGGTCCTTATGTACGTATGCAGCCCTAAAAGTAAGTATCCTGTTTTCTAATTTTTCAAAAGGTAACTCATTTTCAGAGAATAACTCTTTCTGCCTATTGGAAAAGCTAACTCTTTCTTCCATAAAAGAATAACTCTTTCTGCGCAAGGTGCCAACCAGCTGGTTGGTAAGGTCTCCTGCTGGTCGTAGCAGAGACTTGGGATCGAATCCCGCCTACACCTATGATGTGGACAGAAAAACAAATTACATGCAACACTTCAAGTATACAGCAATAAGCACAAGAAATACCAAGCTGAAACAACAAACAAGTTGGATTTTTAGGGATTTCAAATCTGAACCTGAAGTAAAACTCCTCCTGGAACAGTTCTACTATAGTAACAATGGTAGCAAGCTGGCCTCCCACGCAGAGGCGCAGCGATGGAGGGATTGGAAGGTGCCAAAATGGATCGACTCCTCAAAACCCAAGCTCCCAATACTTGAAAACCCTAGATGAGGCTGAGCTACAGCTCAAACAAGAGAGAAAGAACCAAAAAGACCCCCTATAGAAACAGCCCCCATCTCTTTTATATGACCCACTGGCTTGCTGGACAAGCCAGTTAAAATATTTACACATGAGCCCCTAGAATGTTTCCCTCTCACAAGCAACTCCTTGAGAACAAAACTAACTTCAAATGAACCCCCAAAAGATATTTTTTGTTACAAAAAGACCCAAGAGACCAAAACCCAACAGATATGCACCCAACTGCCCCTGACTAGATTGCCATAATCTGACTTATAAAATGACGAGAATACCCCTGGTCCCAAACTGTCAACAAAGCTACCCAAAAACAGAAATTTGGGATCCTACTACAAAAAAATATGCAAAACAAAATACATTCACATTTTTTTCATTCTTTTTTTTTCTTCGTTTTTTGCCTCATCATTCCCAMCAGGTTAAAAAGAGCTCAACCCCTTGCGAGCAACAATTTTAGCAGCCTTGCACATTTCTCCATCTAGCCTCATAAACTCCCTTCACTAATCAAAGAGTCCTCAATTGATGGATTCCCTTTCCACTTGACCAAGAACCTAAAATAGGCCCCATTTCGAGTGTTGGTGACTCGAACATCTTCTACACCCTCTACTTGTTCAAACTCATTAGAACTACTGACCCTTTGTGCTTGTCTTTGCCCAACCTTTGTTGCTGGTTTTAGATCCTCATGGTAATCAAAGGCCCGCTACATTAAAAATGGGTGAAATGGAAAAATCAACTAGTAGCTCAATTTCATATGCATTGTCACCAAACTGTCACATGGACCAATCTTTTTCTGCTTCAACTTATGGTAAGTCCTAACGGGAAACCTCTCAGGCCACAAATAAACCATGACTAGATCACCCTCATGAAACTCTTTCATCCAACAATGCTTATCCTTAGCTTCTTTATACCTTTGAATGCTTTCTTTCGGCTTCCATCACACATTCTCTTGAATCGCTCGAATGGATTAAGCTAAAGCTTCGACATCATCACTCACTCACTCACCGCAACCCTATTATAGGAGCTAGATCAACAATACCTTTAGGTGACCGACCTTACACAACCTCAAAAGGAGTCTCCCCTGTAGATCTATTAACTAAATCATTGAAGGAAAACTTAGCTTGTGGTAGGATAAGGCCTCATTGCTTTAAGTAATCTCCAATAAGGCTCCTCAACAAGTTGCCTAAGCTTCGGTTAACCACTTCAATTTGTCCATCTGTTTGTGGGTGAAATGTACTACTATATTGTATGGTTGTACCCATACGCTTCCATAAAGTTCTCTAGAAGTGGCTAAGGAATCTTGTGTCACGATCTGATGTGATAGATCTTGGCAATCCACACAACCGAACAACTTCTTTGAAAAATAAGCTAGCTACATGAGAAACATCAAAAGTCTTTTAGCAACCAATGAAGTGGGCCATTTTAGAGAAGCAATCAACCACAACAAAAATAGAGTCATTACCCCTAGTTGTTCTTGACAACCCCAACACAAAATCCATAGTAATATCAGTCCATAGTGCTTCTGGTATGGGTAAGGGAAGATACAAACCTGTACTTTGATGTTGCCCTTTACATGTTTGGCACTTGTGACATCTATCAACATAGTAAAACACATCCTTTTGTAGCCTTAGCCAAAAGTACCTTTTGGAGACCATTTCAAGTGTCTTCTTGTGACCAAAATGTCCCTTACGATGCAAATCAGCAATGAGTAATGCCCTCAAAAATCCCGGTGGAATACATAATCTATTGGCCATGAATAAGTAACCATCGTTCCACACAAACTTGGCTCGAATGTCCTTGTCACCTGCTGCATAGCTTATACAAACAGGACCAAAATAAGGGTCATCTTGGTATTGGTCTTTGATGGAGTTGAATCCCACAACATTAGTAGACATTGTGGTCACCAAGTGAACTCTCCAACTAAGTGCATCGGCTACCTGGTTTTGTTGCCCAGCCTAATGCTTCAAAACAAAGTTGTATACTTGTAGAAAATCAACCCATTTAGCATGTCTTCCCTTTATCTTCTGTTGGGAGTTAAGGTGTTTCAATGCTTCATGGTCTGAATACAACACAAACTCCCGTTGGATAAGGTAATGCCTCCAAAACTTCAAGGCCTATACAATGGCATAAACTCAACATCATAGATGGAATACCTCCTTCTGGCATTATTGAGTTTCTCACTAAAGTAAGCAACTGAACGGCCTTCTTGACTAAGGACAGCTCCAATCCCAACATGGGATGCATCACATTCAACATCAAAGAGCTTGTTAAAATCAGGTGTGAAGTTAGTAAACTCACCTCCTTTCAAGCATTCAATAGTGGATGCCACAATAGTGTTGAAATTCTTTATAAATCGGCGATAAAATGTTGCTAGCCCATGGAAACTACGAATTCCAGTTAAGGTTCTTGGTGTTGGCCACTCTTGAATAGCTTGAACCTTTTCTTGGTCCACTTCAATCCCCTTGGCTGAAACAGCATACCCCAAAAGCACCAACATATCTATAATAAAATTACACTTTTTCAAATTTATATATAGCTAATTTTGTCTCAAAACTTGTAGAACTGCTCTCAAGTGTTCTAAGTGATAGTCATGATCTTTGTTGTGGATGAGTATGTCATTAAAATAAACTACCACAAACTTCCCCATTAATGGTCTTAGACAACCCAAATGGCATAACCAACCATTCATATAGACCTTCCTTAGTCTTGAATACAGTCTTCCACTCATCCCCCTCTCGGATACAAATTTGATGGTACCCACTCTTCAAATCTATCTTTGAAAAAACTTGTGAGCCAGCCAATGTGTCTAACATGTCATCAAGGCGAGATATGAGAAACCTGCATTTAGCAGTAATCTTGTTAATGGCACGATTGTCAACACACATACGCCAACTACCATCTTTCTTTGGTGTGAGCAAAGCTGGTACAGCACATGGGCTTAAGCTCTCACAGATCAGCCCCTTCTTCAACAACTTTGTTACTTGTCTTTGGAGCTTCTCATGCTCCTTAGGACTCATTCTATAGTGGGGTAAGTTAGGCAATGCTGCTCCTGGCACTAAATCTATATGATGTTGTACATCTCTTAGGGGAGGAAGGCCATTTGGTAATTCCTTAGGCATCACATCAACATACTCATGAAGTAGCTTCTTCACCATCTCTAGAATAGGTGTTTCTTTGCTAGCTTCTTTTGCAACCAGCACGTAAACAACATCCAAATTTCCTTCTTCTTGAGCCAATTTGTTTGAGGTGAACGGAGTAGTGGTTGGCTTGGTTTCCCTCTTTGAAAATGAATCAAGTTGCATTGGTTTAAGAGTTATCTTCTTGTTGTTTTTCATAATATTGTATGTGTTCTTGTCCTCATGGTGAATAGTCTTACGGTCATATTTCCATGGGCGTCCCAAAAGAATATGGCATGCATCCATTGGGACAACATCACACCATACTGATTCTTCAAATGTATTACCAATAGAGAAATTAACTAAGCATTTAGAAAAAACTCTTACCTCATTCCCTTTGTTGAACCATAAAATACGATATGGTTGGGGTGGTGAATAGTTTTGAGCTGTAATTTATCCACCATCTCTTGAGAAACAAGATTCTCACTACTTCCACTGCCAATAATCAGGTTACACAACTCTCCACCAGTTGTAAAACGTGTTCCAAAGATATTCTTTCTCAACCAATCCCCTGGTAGTGATTCTTTAGGTGCAACCATGGAGTGCCACATCACTAGAGCTTTACCCTCAATGTCCCCATCCAAGTTTTCTTCCTCTAAAGCATTAGCTTCAGTAGCTTCAGCCGCTTTTCCATCCTCAACATGGCCTATATCATCTTGTTGTTCATCAATGACTTCATCACCAAATGTGTTTGCCATTCAATTCTTTTCTTAGGACATTCATTGGAACGATGTCCCAACTCCATACACCTAAAACATCTAACAGTAGGCTGCCCTTGATTGCTCTTGGTTACATTTGGAGTCCCTTGGATTGTAAGTCGTGTTTGGTTGACCACACGACCCTTACCAACCCCAACACTTCGGCCTACTGAAGAAGATGTACCTTGGACAGCACTTAGTTTTCACCCCAAGCTCCAACTCAATTGAGCTTCAACTTTCAAAGCTAGCTGATATGCATCCTTTACTTTATATGGGCAATATAAGCTGACTTGATCCTGTATTGGTAACCCCACACTATTGATATATCTACTAACTTTTTGCTGTTCAGTTTCTGTCATAGAGTTAATCTACTAAACTTTTTTGTGTACTCATTTATACTATTTTC